TAATTATATTCTAGAAATAATTATTTTAAATTAAGAAGCTTAGTTTATATCTAGCTTCTAAACTAAGTTCTATTATATTATTAATATTAAGCTTAAATTATTAATTACTTATTATAAGGAAATAAATAAATAAATAAATAAATAAATAAATAAATAAATAAAAATTATAAATTAATATATTAATTAAAGGCTTTAGTCTTTTATTTTATATTATTAAAATAATTAAAGCAAGCTTTTCTTTATAATAAATTATACCTAAATAATTCTTTTTTATTCTATAATTAAAATAGCTTTATATTAACTTAAGTTTAGTTTTATATCCCGGAATAACTAGAACTATAATATTTCTAAGGCTTTAATTCTTATTAAAAAGTTAAATTATATTAATACTCTTATATTAGTAATTTATATATATAAAGCCTAAGAAATTATTAAAAAGAATATAAAGAAAGCCTAGGAAATAATAACCAAATATATAAACTAATATTATAAAGAAATTAACTAATAAGTTAAGAATTTTATATATTTATTAACTAAAAACTTAAAATCTAATTATTTTAACTAGAAACTAGTTAATTAATAAAAAGAACTCTTTGAAATTCTTAAGAAAATTAGAAATTCTTATAGGCTAAAGCTTTTAAAAGAATTTAAGATCTATCTTATATTTACTTTTAATATCTTAACTAAGGATCCTAATACTTCTTTACTTAATTAGGAAAAGCTTAAGCTAAATATAAAAGTTATTTCTAGTTAAGAAGAAGAGATTATAGAATTAAGGAATCTTTTTAAGGTTAATAAATATTTAAATAATATTCGAACTAGTTTTAAATATATATTAAAAGATATTATTCTTTTTCTTAATATAATAAATATATTTCTTAAATATAAATCTAATAAATAAATAATTATATTTAAAATACTTAATAATTTAATAAAGATAATAATATATAAGATTTAATAAATAGCTACTAAAGTATTAGCTAGAGTTAAAATAGGTATCTTTATTAATAGTATTAATAAATAATATATTTAATAAATTAATATTATTAATATATTATATTAAAAGTAAAACTTATATTATAAGAACGTTATAGAGTTATTTTAGAAAAAAGAAAAGATTAGAAATAATATAAAAAGTTATTATTATATATTCCGGCTTTTTATTATTATTAAATAATAATTATTACTATTATTATTATTTAGAATATATAATAAAAAGTAAATATTATAAATAATAAATAAGCTAACTATAAAGTATTATAACTCTTATTTATTTTTCTATAGCTCTAATATAACTATAAATTAATACTATTTATATTATAATTTAAGAATAAACTAATGTCTTAAGAAGAGGGAATATTACGAGACATTACTTTATTTAACTTATATAGCTTAGTATTAGAGTATTAAGGCTAGACCTAATTCGGATATATAATCTTATAATTAAGGAATTACAGGCTTATATAATATTTCCCTCTTTTCTTCTTTCTTTCCTTTCTTTATCTTTAGATTCTCCTTAATATTAGACTTATATAATTATTCTAATTAGCCCTTAAAAGTGCTCCTTATATCTCTTCTTTACCCGTAAGCTCGTATATTATTATATCTAGGCTAGAGAAATTAAATAATTAATTAAAGAGCTCTATAGCTAATAAATTAAGTAGTAGAGAAGACTATAAGAATAATTATTAAATGAATTAAGATTAAAGTACGTGCGGTATAGCCTATATAAGAGTAAAGTAAGCAGCTAACCCCCTATAGCTCGCTAGGCCTAATTAGCTATAGCGCTCGAGCCCCTATTACATTAATAACCCTCCCCTAAACAAGATAGTTCTAGTAGAGGCTTACAGGCCGTTTCAGGGGCCCCTTAGAGCGGAATAGCCTGGAAATTGCTTTAGGGGGTTAAGTGAGACCTTACAGGGCCCTTTAGTGGAGTTCATAAAAATATTGTAAATTAAGACAGTATAATCCCGTCACTTTATGCCGCGATCTGCGTATACAGTCGGTCCGATCCAAAAGCAACAAATTGGTCGCTCTTTTACGCCCATAATAACTTTTTAACCACAACCCTAATTAATTTATACTAAGTTATGCGATTATAGAATAGAACCAGGCGAAAAATACCTATTAATCGGATTTTTAATATAATTTGTGGTTTATTAATAATTAAGGCCTAAAGTACACGGACCCTTTTTATTTTATTGATTTTTCGTTATACAAAACGCGAATATTTCTACTTGCTAAGGTCACGTGAGCCCGTACTTCAAGGGGATATTACAGCATCTCACTAGCCTTATTATTAATATAATATTAATATTTAAGCCCTATAAGCTTAGAAGAACCTTCCTAAATATTAAATAAAGCTTTCTCTAGTACTATATATTATATATATATAGTAGGGCCCTAGTTATATAGGATTCAAGCTAATTTTGGCTAAACTGATTCCATAAACTCTAGCTACCTTCGCTCTCCTACTTTTGTATATTATCCTATTCCTCTATTACTGTTTTAGATATTGTTCTATAGCGTCTTTGCTTCTTTATATACCAAGCAGCTTATTTAATACTCAATCCCTTCCGATATGCATCTATCTAGCGGAACGTACGATTATAGAACCTCTGTATAGTCTCAATTGAACAAGCTTCAAGTGCCTCTACTACCTTAGCTTTGGCATCTGGGAAGCTAGTCTTCTTTACTTGATAATATCGAGTTTTGCTATACCCCTAATATATCTCAATTGGGTTGATTTCGCAGTGGAACTTCAGTAAAAACACAGCCTTATACCCTCGCTCCGTAATAAGCTCTTTAACTTGAGACTTCTCTTTAAAGAAGTCTTGGTGATTCGATAGAATACGAGCTAAATAGCACGTTTGTTCGATAGCGGGAGGGTATTTAAGGGGTATAGTATACCTAGTACCCTTTGGGCACTTAAATCTTAAGCCAGGGATATTATAACCTCGCTTAATAAGAATCTGTTCCATACCCTTAGGCTCTCTTTCTCTATTCGGATTAAGTTACCAAAGGACTTGAATAGTGCCTTATAGCCCCGGAATCATATACTCTGGTAGGAAATATATATCCCTCCTATAGGGCTTAATATTACCCTTTTTAACCCCCCCTAGTGCCTTATTTATACTAAAGGCATTCAGTACACCTTCGCCATGCGAAGCGTATACAGAAGACTAATTAAATATTAGAATAGCTATACAGTTTGGGTGCTTCTGTTCAAATATATCGAGCGTCCTAGTAATCTGAACTAGTAGCTATTTTATATCCCACCAGGGGTCTCCATTTGAGCCTGGATATATAATTTGACGGGCATCCAAATTAGGGTCGTCTGGGATAAAGATGCCTTTATTATTTAGTACTCTAATACGCCCCTCAGGGCCCACAAACTCAGAATCGTAAATTAGCCTCCCTTTACTCTTTCCGGGCATTTTTTGCTAATTATCTGCTAGCCAGAGGCTCTTTTTATAATCGAAACCATGGAAATAGCTCTCGTTATAAAAGTATATTACGTATACCTGACCCCTAATTAGGAGTATAGGTTAAATCGTATGCCACGTACTAGCTTTATCCTCCTCGTATTAAACTATATATAATAAAAGCTCGTTTATTAGTAGTAAAAATACCTCTTAATAATACTGAATTATATTAGGTCATTCGTATCTATTTATATAAAGCCCTTTCTTAGTCTTATGGTAATAAAAGCCGAGCCTAGGGAGCCATAAGTAAGCTATACTGCGAGTAATAGGCTTGTTAATTATTAATAATAATCGAGGTAAAATCTCCTGATTAACGGTATTTAGGAAATCATTTAGTAATATTATTCCAAGCTCTTAATTAATTAACCAAGTTCGATAGGCTAAGAATACGTCCTCATTATCCAGATAAGACGCTCTATTTCTTTTACTACCCCTAGCCTCTTGCGGAATACCATGCCACTATTAATAGTAATTAAATAACCCCCTAATTCGCCGAGCAAGCGTCTTTCTATTATTAAAACGATAATTACTAGCGGCTACTAAGAGAGATGTATTAATTCTTCCTAGCCGATATTGCCTTAGCTTTATAAGCTATTAGGTATATTACCGGAGTAAGTATAAGTTAGTAATTATACAGGAGGTATAGGGGTCTTTTATTCGTACTAGCTTTATATCCATATTATTAAGGACTTCCTGATAAGTCATTCGTATATCTAGAGCTTCGTTATATCCACAAGTATCTCTAATAAGGGTATCCAGAAGTAGTTCGTTCGCTCTATTATCTTTATCTTCAAGCCTTTACTCTTCCCTTAATTACATATCTCTAGGGATATCAATTAGCCCCCTAATAATATCGAATTATAGCCTCTTTTATTTAAAAGATAGTATAATTATAGGGGTCTTAAGCCTACTAGATTGCGCTATAGCTTGAGTATCTTTTGCCCTCTGGTTATATACATGCATTTATTAAGTTCTCAATGGCTTTACTAATTCCTTTATTAATTTGGAGTAATATGAGCCTCTGGAAGCTAGAAATATTCTTAGTATACTTATATTATAATATAAAAATAAGTAAATAAGTAAGAAACTTACTAGTTTATTCCATAAGTCTCTGATCTCGCTATATAACTATAGGCTTCTCTAAAATAATCGTCTTATATCCACTAATAAGAAGCTTCCGCTGAACCCAAAAGAGGGTCGAATCTTCAAGCTCTTTATTACTTGGTTTAATATCTGAATCATTAGAATTATCCTCTATATTAGAGGGTTTCTCATGCCGTTCGTTAATAGTCGCTTGGATTATAGCTTCTTTAGCTATAGTGAGAACTGTAATTGAATTAAGAGTTGAATCAGCTCGCTTGCGTTTCTGGGGGTTTATAGAGGTAGCTATTGGAAGTATTCAAGAGGGGCACTTAATTATATTTGTGGTTATTGAGATATTAATATAATCGTGGAAGAGCGGTTAATGGAGGGGGGTAGTCACGTGACAACAAAGTAAAAAAATGACCATACAAAACGCGAATATATTTGCTCGCTTAATTACATATATTATAACTCCCTTAATAATAAAGATATTATAATTTCGAGAGTATAGAATTAATCCCTAGAGTATATAGTATCGTTTTAATTAATACGATTTATATCAACTAGTATTGTGGTAATTTTTATTTTTATTTGTTGCTTTTGGATCGGACCGACTGTATGCCTGAGTCTGGGGCTGCTATAACAAGTGTCCTGTCTACCGCGACTGTAGAATATTGTGCTTCACTGAGCTTTTTCCCGATCATCCTTGCTCCTGCCAGTATCATTGATCTCCGAGGTACCACTGGCTACCGTTGCTACTTCTTTCCACCCGCAGCGGCCGCAGCCTCCTTGTCAGCGGCCAGCACCTTCTGGATCGCCGGCCGACTCACGCAGCGGTCGTACCAGGCATTGACAGCCTTGTGACTGGTGATTAACTCGCCGGACCCAACTGCGAAAAGCCTCTGCATCAGCGGGATGTAGTAGATGTCTACAAGGGTGAAGCTTTCGCCGGCCATGTAGCTCCTCTTCTGCAGTAGATTCTCGGCGGCGTCAAAATACGTCTCTAGCGCCTGCAGCGAGTCGGCAACGACCTTTTCGTCGGGCGGAAGGCCCTTGAATTTCTTGACGAACTTCTCAAAGGCGATCTTAGCCACGGGCTCGGCGAAGTAGAGCGTCTCGACGGACTGCGCTTCATCGAAGGACGCCGTGGCTTCGGCGTCGGAGCTCGGCGGGAGAAGCGGAATGGAGTACTTGGTCGCGAGGTACTTGCAGATGGCACGGCTCTCGTAGAGCGTGAAGCCGTCGGGAAAGGTGACGGTGGGCACTTTGCCCCAGGGGTGGCGCTTCTTATGCTCTTCGGACTAGAGGTTACTGCGTAAGAGTCGAGCTTTGCAGGTCAAGGAATTGGTGATCTGATGACTCAGCTGGAATCTTTGGAGCTCCACACCATGTGACTTTCTTCAAACTTGGGGAGTAGCATTGTTTGCACAAAGGAACGGCGGCTTACCTTTTGCTCTCCCTTATGGAGATTAAGGAGGACGAGTTCGTAGTCGGTGAAGTTTCCTTCTGCAAGAGTCAAGCGGACACGCGCGGTGTTCGTCGAGGTAGGAGAGCCGTGGAGAACGAAGGCTGGCATCTTCGCGGTGTGTAGCAGTTGTCTCGACGCGAATCTGAGGTGGTTTGTAGATCTCAAATTCATGTGGGTGATCTTATTTAAAGAGAGGAATCTCTACCCACTTGTGGGTTGAGAGGTCTATAAGAGCTGTCAACGTCACCTCAGTTCAATTGTCGTGTTTGGTTGAGTGTCTGGAGCTTGCTAATATCCGTGGAAGTGTGCCTTGCATACGCTGTGATTCGTCCGATCGGTATCGTAGCCGGACCGAGCCTATCGTTGGACCCCTCGTCGTGGCTGCTCGGACTCCGACGAGCGCCCTGTCGACCGCCCCGTTCGGTTCCCTGGGACTGGTATTACGGCACTTCTTGCTGATTGGTAATTAGACTCGGACTTCCACTTCGCAACATCGTCCCCTTGTTAAGCGTGAACATTCCACTGCTGGTTTCAAGATGCGAGAAGCGTTGATGCCCGCATGGGGACGTTAGTCCTTGCCTTTCTTTCACTGGTCCGTACACGAGCCAACAACCTGGGTCAAGCTCCACGGACTGCGCTTGTCAAGCGAGGAAGACAGTCGAATGCGATGAGCTGAAGCCGTTGCAGTATGTAGACCGAACGAGCCAATCAATCAGAGACCAGCTCCGGCGCCCGACAATCATCACAGACGTATGTAAGTGAGGCAGGCACGTTGTGGGCCAAGAAGGAAGCAAGTTCAGTCTTTATGCCTTTCTAAATTTCTTCCTCTCCTTCCTCCAACAGACTCTTCATATCTTCGCAAATTCGAGTACGGGATCTTTTGTTCGAAAACCATGCATTTCCTCCTCCTCGGCGCCATCGGGCGGACTGGCAAGCACGTCGTCTCCAAACTGCTCTCTCAGGGCCACACAGTGGTCGCCCTCGTACGCGATTCTAAAAGGATCAAACCCCAATCCAACCTCACTATCGTCAGCGGCTCGCCGCTGGAGCAATCCGACATTCACGCCGCTCTCACCGCGGTGCCTTCGCTCTCAGTGTCTGCGGCCATCTTCACACTCAACACGCTTCGCAAGTCTGACAGCCCCTTCGCCGCTCAAGTAGGGCCTCCCCGCTTCCTGGCCGACTCGTGCACCAACCTCTGCGCTGTCCTAGAGCAAGCCGGCGTCCGGCGCGTTGTCGTGATGTCTACGGCAGGCGTCGGCGATTAGTGGGGCAACCTACCGTGGGTGAGCAAGAAGTTCATGACGTGGACGAATATCAAGCACGCGCTGGAGGATCACAGTCTCGTGGACGAGGAGATGCACAAGAGGGATCTGCTGAACGAGTCGCTCGCACGGGCATGATGTTATTGGCTTCATTCTCGTGCTACATCTGGGCCTTTCTATCCCGAGTCTTCTCTGCCAGAACCAGAGTTAGTACAATAGGATATTAAGCATATGATTTGACCCAAGATGGTTCACGTAAAAGTCCTAGATCGCGGCTGATTTGGATAAGTTGACGTTACCAATAGATGTTCTGGATCCCTCTATTGAGTCATGGCAGGCCGTGTTCAGGGGCCTGACCGTTGATATCGGCCATTATCTGGATGGCAACAAATCGACTCTGTCAAAGCCAGTCGTTTGTTAGCAGAGAGGCTCGATCTTGTGGCTTTCACATAGAGCGGAAAGACTCACAAACGAACGCGCTGCGGAGAATATATAGCCCGAAAAGTAAAGCTGAGGATCTGTCTCGCGATTGTCAGCTCTCACCTTTTGCTCTAGTATAGAACAGGGTATTTAAAGAGAATCAATAGTGCTCTTACGTCCTGATCGTGTCACCTGTCCAATCATCTCTCCTTCGACGTCTACGGCTGGCATGCCCATGTTCTCGATTTGTAATGCAGATTCCGCGTCCAGAAATCCGCTCTTCGCCCATTGTTTCGGGAGGTCCGTTTTGGCATAGCCTGTTGCCAAGACCACTCCATCGGCTTCGAGGATTCGTTCAGCTTCGGTCTCGGCGTCCTTGACGATCAGTCCGTTTTCAGTGAATCCGACTACCGTGCCGTGCGCGATCTTGATCCGATCGCGTAAGACTAAATCGAACGCGCCAGCCGCATCAAAGTATATAGACCTTACGCGATCCTCGTAAACACGTTGGATGAAGTTGGGCTTTCGGTCGATCAGATAGCCTTTTGCCTCGAGCTTACTGTACAGCTTTTCACTTGACTTTACCAGTTCGGCAATCGCTCCACCCATCCAATCTCGCAAAATACCGAGTGGCAATTGCGAGAAGAGGAAGTCGGCTGTATCGACAGGGATATTGCCTTGGTACAGGGCTGTGATAAAGGGGTGAAAGGTGTCAAAATCGAATACTGCGGTCGGACTGCGCTGAAGCATTGTGACGGACTGGACGGCAGCGTTGTCGCCAAGAAATTTAGCGATGTCGTGTGCCGAATTTCCCGATCCTACTATTACTGTTCTCTTTCCTTCATAAAGGTCTGTCGTAGAGAACTGTGTAGTATGCTGTACTGGACCAGAGAACTTCCCGCGGTCTTTCAGTCCTTCTGGTATGACGGGGCAGTCCTCGTTAAAATAAAACCCGTGTGAAATAATGATATTACGAGTTTGCACCGTACTCGTTTGCCCGCTTTGAACTTCTTCTAAGCTGACAGTCCACAGTCGCCGCTCTTGGTCGAAGACGTTGCTTGTAACTTTCACACCCGCGAAAAGAGGCAGTTTAAGGTCTTGAACCGCCCTAGACATATATTGGGCCAGCTCGGCACCGTTGAGGTGCGTAGAGGCAATATCCGCCGGTACGGGATACTTGGGAAGCTGGATCATGAAGTTGGGGTGGTGGAGCCTGACGGATCTGTACCGCTGGAGCCAGGCTTCGCCAGGGGATCCCAAATCAAAACAGGCAACGTTGGCTCCAATCGAGTCCAGCATAATGAGGTTGCTGAGACCGCTGCACCCACCCCCAATGACAACGGCGTCTAAAGCCTCCTGGAAATGCGGGAGTCCCTGCGGTGTAGCTTTGCCTCTCTGCTCTGGAGAAATCAAATCGTTTGAGGTCACCGCTCGCGGCAACGGTTGGAAGGGATACTCCTTTAAAGAGACGACGGAGGTTGTTAGAACCCATATCTTCCAGCTCGAAGCACTTGGTATTGCCTTAGCAATACCGACACATGCACAGTCCGGCCTGGAAACAGAAAACGCGAACGGAATGTCCAGCGTCGCCATCTGGGGTGTCATCCTTACAAATGCCGGCGGCGTCTCAACCATTTCTATCCCTGGGCCGGCAATACTGAATCCGCGCGGCTTACGTTGCGGTGCTAGAGACTGCCAGGCCGAGGAGATGCCTTGCCGACCTTGAATCGTCCGCTTATCAAAGGTAAGGGTGAGATGATCTTTCCACCAACATTGCTCTGCGAACAAGCCTTCGAACGATTTCCAATCAGATTCTTCTACAGCCTGGCTAAACTTGTAGAGGAAAGCTTTAGCTTCCCGGGGACCGTCTAAAGAGGTTTCGTTGTCCTGAACAGGAACCTGTGGGAAGTCAGAGGGCATGTCTCGTACACGGCCTGGAATGCGTCGGTGCGTGAGAGTTGCCATGGTGATTGGTGTTCTTTAGAGCAAACGAGGATGTAAGAGAAGTGCTGTGACGGCTCAAGACGAATAGTACTGGGTAAGCAATTCCATTCGCCTAGTCAACTGTCTATACAAAGAGAACAAGCTAAGGAGAGAAGAAGAGCTGAGAGCAGAGCTCTATATATACACAGCAAGGGTCACGTGTCCCAGTTGCCTAAGGTCCTCAGCCCCTGGGCGTACCAGGCCGTGACAAGTGCGTTGAAGCTTGTACGGTTGGTCCATGGCTGTCATCTATATCTTCTCGACTCTTTATGCAGACTATCAGCATTAATCAGGCTTGGCAATATTACCTAATTTCGGGTATTGATCCGGATTAATACCAGAATCGTAAGGTATCAATACTATTAATACCGGTATTAATCCTAAGCGAGCTAATCCTAGTATATTTGAGATTCTTGGTGTTTTTAATACTTTGAGAGGACTATTTGTATTAAAGGTACTATCTAAAAGATTGCAAACCCTCATACGGCCTCTATAAAGTACAAGTAAGGCCATAAATACCCCTTATTGAGTAATTGCACATAATGCAGCTGCCCTACTAGTTCCACGAGGGGTCTTTCTTACAGCACCACATTAAGTAAGGCGTCCTCCCTTTCCACGACTACCACTACTAGCTCCTCCACGTCCTCCTCCACATCCTCCACGTCCTCCACGTCCTCCACGTCCTCCAGTGCCAATATCTCTATCGCTACTCTCACTCTCAGTATCCCCTCCCCACATACAAGTAGCAGTATGGTCCGGCCACTTGCAATTACCACAGCAGTTATTCCATTAACCCATAATCCGGCGGCACTCAGGGAAAATGGTATTATTAAGGCCCGTACAAATACAAAAACGGCAAGGAGTGGCTATTATATTAGCTCCTCTATACTAAATGAGAATCATATTAATATATGACTGGCACTGAGTCATAACTTGACTAATTGCAATACAATTGGGGTTAATAAGGACGTTTTGGCCAGGAAGAGCAAGAGCTTGGTTCTAGAGGCTATTATAACACTTAAATCTAGTTAGCTTAAGCCCTCTCGTACGAGAAGAATTCCTTATAAATCCAGCTAGCTACTGGCCTGCAACTATTATTATCTACTGGCCTTGAGGAAGAGCTTGGCCTGTACTAAGAGCAAAGGCATTACCTATAAGGTTAATAAAAGGAATAAGTCTAGTAGATTAATAGTTATACGAGTAGCTAAGCTTAAGAGACTTACTACTGGTTTGGATTGGCAGGTATAGGAGGGCCAGAAGCAGGTAAGGCAGGGGGATTACTACCAGGAGCAGGATTATTTAATATTATATAAGGTATTAATATTATACGAGAGATCAGGTTATTGGTATTAATATTAATAAAGGAAGGAGGCAGAAGGTAAAGGTAAAGGGTTCTTCTTTAAATAGTTAAAATTAGCCTGGGGAAAAAAATTTAGGAAAATTTAGAAATTTAGGAAATTTCTAAAAGAATCTAAGATTATATAAGAGCCTTAAAATATATAATTCTTATTAGTTCCCCCTTTAAACTAGCCAGTCTCAAAGAAGATATCTAGAATTCCGCTTCTTTTCTAGTACTTTAAATACTCTCTTATCTTAATAGTCTCTGCTTCTATTTATATTCTATCCTAGGCTATTGTATAATGACTTCCTAAAAAGACTTTCTCTGGCTCATTGCTTATTAGTAGGATTAAGAGGATATTAATAGCCATAAGTAAGAGCCTAGGCCAGTATTATCTCTATATATCTTGATACTATTATATAAGGGCTTTCCTTTTTCCAGGATTATATGAGTCTTATAAGTTATAGTCCTTATACTCGTCCTTACTTACTGGCCTAGTAACTATATAAAGAGACAAAGTAATCTTATTAAAGGGATCTATCTCTGGTATATTTTAAGAGAAATTATTATACGAGAAAGATATATGGGAAAATAAGGGTATAGCTGCCTTTTCTCTATACTTCTCCCAGAGTGCCTTTACGCTTACTAAAATCGGCTTTGCCTACTTCTTTGGCTAGTAAATCTCAATATATCTCTTATAATTACCAGGATTTAAGATTAAAGTAATAGCGTAAATAAGAGAAAGATTAGTCTTAGTATAGTACTTATTAAGAATAGTATATGTTATATTAAGCCGGCTAAGGAAGTCCTGGCTTTCTTGATCTCTTTTCTTTTTATATTTGGCCTATTATATTATATATTAGTAAAGTAAAGAAAGAGAGAAAAGAAGAGAAAAGAAGAAGTATAACTTATAATCTCGGTTTAAATATATTTAATTAATATATCTATTATAAAGAGTATATAATTAATAGATATAGAGTCTCTTTTAGTAAAGAAAGTAGCTTATATAAAGAGGTAAAGAAAGTCTCGAATTATATAAAGCCTTCCCCATTTCTTAAAGCTTAAGATATTATCCTTAAGCTCCTTTTTATAAGCCTGGCAATAGGCCTCAATATGGGGCCTCAAGAGTAAGAGAATATCAAGTATCTTATACTAGCTATTTTACCTTATATAATTATCTATAGGAACCAGTCTTTCTATAAGCTTAATAAATTATACTATTCTACTAGCAGATTTACGGATATAAACCACGATATTATACCTCTTGCTAAGCGGTCCCAAGAGCCTAAACTTAGCTCTTATTGCCTCCTTATCCGTATACTCTTCTCGCTTCTTTTAATTATTATATAACTCAAGTACTTCTAATTCTACTATACCTATAAATAAGAAGGCTTATACTATCAAATTAATAATATGGCTAATATAGCGAATTCGTATTTATACTATATTTTATTCTAAGCTAAACTCTTGCTTCTAGTAAAGTTAAATAGCCCGGTAAAAAGTATTATTAGAAGAGGCATTATTAGCTATAATAGCCCCAAGCTTTCGTATAATACTATAGTCCTAAAGAACTAGAAGAAGAACTATAAACTGGTTTTCTCCGGAATGGCTATCTACTTACTTGAGAGTAAGAAGGGCCTTTTATCTCTTTAAGTTATACGAAGTAAAGTAGGTACAGATTACTAAGAGAAGGTATTAATTTAGAGAGGTCCAGATATCGAGAGAAATATATATCCGTAAAAGTACTAATTAGATAGCCTTTTATATAATATCCTTATATCTTACCCAAGCCTCCTTGACCTTATTAGAAACTCCAGAGTAAGAGGTAGTAATCTTGCCCTTATATGCCTGGTTTAGTACTTGGTAAAAGGTATGAAACTCTGGCTATTTAACCATAGTATATAAGAGATTTCGTATAATAATTAGAGAAATCAGAGCTTCTATAAGGACTATTATATTAAGAGAAGCCTTAAGGATCTCTAAATCGAACTTCTTAGCCTTACTAGTAGCCTCAGCTTAGTAATATAGCTATCTAAGTTGCTTCTTTACCACTTCTTGAGTCTTATTTAGAGCCTTCTCTATTATAATCTCAGGGTAGTACTTCTTGATATATTTTACTATATTTCCTGAGCTTGTACTACTATACGGCGGCGGAATTTTATCTTGTATATAGTAAAGGCAATAAAGAAAGGACTAAATCTCATCTTGGTGGGATTACTGGTAGTAGGCCCAAGTAGGGGATCGCTTCTTGCTATGGGCTGGATCAGATATAACTGACTCTATTATAAGTGATTATATAAGGGACTCGTCTGGTTTAAGTAAAGAAGATATTTTAAGGATATACTTTGGAGAAAATCGTCATACGAGGAGGGAAAAGGTAAGGAAGGAGGGGAGTGAGGCATGGCGGGGTAGAAAGGCGGTGAGAGCTCGCTTAGTATTAATACCAATCGATCCAGTATTAATTCCTGTAATACTGACTAATACCGGGTGGTATTGATACGGTATTGATACCTCAGGTATCATTGCCAAGCCTGGCATTAATGTATATAGGATCGGCACGGGAAGGGAGACAAGCTAGGGATGCCTATCCGTCTTTCGGTCGTGCCCTTAGCGCTGAGATGTAACGACGCACGAGCTCACGGGCAAACCTTCTCCTGCGTCATGAGCCAGTGCGAGATTGGTACAACCTCATGGAGTTTCAAGTGATCTCCACTCGAGCTGAGACGCAGAATCTCGTTGCGTTCCGCGGCGAGGTTGGTTTCTTTGCCAGGCTGATAGGTGTGGAAATTGTGCAAGAGACTCTGGCTAAAGGCCGTGTGAAAACCGGTGCGGTCGAGGTCTTCGGCTTTATATTGTTCGCCTAGAGGAATCGTATAGCCTTCAGACACGGCTAGGACATTTCGCGACCAGATGGAGGCGAATGTGCCCAGAGACTGAGCATCCATAATCCCGTGATGTCCATTGTACGTGACCACAAGTCCACCCTTAATGAATGTAGCCAGAACTGTGACAACTGGACATTTTTCAGAATGTCCTCTCGGTTCTGGCACGAAGGTGGTGACAGGAAAACAAGAGAATGAGAATCTTCGCTTCTCCATTTCGTCAAACAAATATTCAAGGCATTCTTGCTCGTGAAACCAGACACCCGTTGCTTCCTCATCGAAGTGCAATTTCATCGTCCCACGCTCTTCATCGTCGGGGACTATTACCGAAGCAATGAAAGGCATTTCATTGATAGTGCGCGCCAACCCAGCCTTCAGGTTCTCCACGATGGTCGAGCGCTGATCGTCTCGCTCGATTTTGAATGCACACATAATTGGAATGATGATCCTAATCATGTACTGATCGAGAGGAGACAAATCATCAGGGTCCCCCACTGAAGGGTCAGTGGGACGAACCAATACCTTCGTAGTTTTCATAATAGATGCAAATGCAACCGAGACGTGAATGTGATGTGAATGAATGAGTGAGAAGAAAAGAAAAACAGCACAGGGAATGGGATATTTATAACATTCGGAAGCTGACAGCGAAGAATCCGTTCAGAGAGCTAGCGAAGTCCAGTTTGATCTGTTCCATCCCATCTATCAATACGAGCGGTTTAGGAATCTGGCGCTACGATTAATCAATCGGCTCTCCGATTAATCAATAGGAAATGGAATACGATTCGCAAGCCACAGTGGGTCCCGATTAATCAATCGGAGGGCCGATTACCTAATCGGGTAATATTGAGGTCTCGGGAATAGCAAAACAGTATATAGAATACTCCATCCAAATCAAGCTTTATTATATATGCCTCCCACTACGTCTAGGTACTCCCATAGCCACCCTAGCCCTTTTTAGTACCCTCCCCTCCACTTGATCACCTGATTCTCCTCCTTCTCTAGTTCCATTCTCACGTACTTGCTCCTCAGCTACTCTCTTCTTTACTCTCTCAGATACTCTTCCAGCCTTCTAAACTAACGCAATTAAACCACGATTCTTCTTCTTTGCTACCGCTTTAGGAAGGGTGATTTTATCCCTCTTGTGGGTTATACTAGTAGTAGGTAAATCAGGATAAGTCGATTGGGAGGTGATTTTATTAAGGGTACTATGCGGCCAGAGAGTAGTAAGCTTGCCATACTTAGTAGCTAAGCAGTAGCTGTGACGGCGGGATCAATGCAATGGTCGAAGGCTCAAAGTTCAAAGAATCTCATGTATTGGAAAATACTAAGCTATGGAACAAAGTAGGGAGGATGCCTCGACCTTTAGTATTATTCCGTCCAAGCAATTCCGGCTTAGCTTCGTTTTGTGCCTGTTTCCGATATCCTGTCCTTGGCAGATCATGCCCTTACACCAGCCATTATATTACCCCCCTCCTAAAGAGAAGTCTAAATGCCCTTATTTAGGGGATTATTCAGCCGTAGTATAGAAAAGAAAAAAGAGGAAATAATGGCCATTAATCCCATTCCATCTAATTCCCATAGCTTACTTATAATCGAAGTATAGTCTTGACTTCGCCAGAATAACCCAGTTCTTAGTTTGTTCCGGCTAGTCCTTAGTATCCGTTACTCGTATTATGCCTATACCTATATTAATAATATAGTCTGGGAGTGCCATATAGGCCATGGCTAATATTAGGACTATTATTATCGGGCGGTCTTTAAATAGGAGTGGCAGATTAAGTCTATTTATTAATATAGGCTTTAATATAGTAGCTTGCTTGCCTTTCTTCTTAGTTAAAATAGTAATATTTGGCTTAATATACTATTTCTAAGCTACTTAATTAACTTCTGGGCCTTCTCGAGCTTAATATATATATTCTCAAGTTATTTCTTTATAATAGAGACTTATATATTAAGGACAGTTACTTAAGCTACTTTATTATTAAATTCCCGGGCCTTAAGCTATATAATTTTAGTCTTATAAGAGCTTCTAAGGGGTTTTCTAATTTTCTAAATAGTATTATATACTAATTTATTAATATCTATAAGGTATTACTTCTTTAATTTAGCCTTTAAAATTATTTATTAGTTCTTGGTTTTAGACTAGTATTTTATATAATAACTATTACTTAATATTATATATCTTCTAGTTATAATAAATATCTTAATACTAGTTTAGCTAACTTTATTATAGTTAGAGTCTCCTTTATTATTAGAAATCTTTCCGTTCTTAGTTTTTTTATTATTAGAATTCTTATTATTATCTAATACCTTATATTTCTTAAATAAGCTAGCCTTATTCTTTTTAATTTTCTTAGTATTTGGCTCTATAAAATTAATAAGAAAGCCCTTATTAGTACTATTTATTCCGCCTATTAGATTATTAGACTTATTATTACTAGTAACTAAAACCTTTATTTTATTATTCTTAAAATATTTTACTAAGATATTCTTTATAATAATTTCAGGTATATTCTTAAAAGTAATATAAGCCATATTTTATATATTAACTTATTTTTAGATAAGAAAGTTATTATTTTCGTTTATAAAAGTAGTTTAGCTAGTAATTATATTAATAATAGTAATAGCTACTAAACTTAAAATACTATTACTATTATTTAAGTTATTTAGGATCTAGTAAGTAGCCTTATTTAGTCCGGTTATAAATAATATATTACCGGGATTTCTTATTTATTTCGTCTTTATTAATAGTTCTATTAAGGTAATAGTAATAATATAAATAGTTAAGGTTATAAAAATTAAAGTAATTAGGAAAGTTTCTCTTAATTTTTAATAATATTTTAAACTAATATAGGTAAGTATTTATTTTTAGCTTAGCTTTAAGAATTTACTTTTTTTTATAATTTATCTAAATAATAAAGTATAATCTAGTATAATAAAGAAAGATATTTTATCCAGATTTCTAGAAAAGAAAATAAGTACTAATATAATAGAATAAAGAAAATATATTAGAATTTAGATAAAACCCGAGAAATATCTAGGTTTTTCTTCTTTTTCTTTAGTTATAAAGGCCTTATTATTAAGATTTATTATTATCTAGGTAGTTTTTATTAAACTTATTTTCTTTAATATACCGAATTTATTTATTTAATTAGATAAAAGATCTTACTTTATTAGAATTCTACTTGTGAAATTTATATAATTTAAATACTAAGTTCTTAAAATTTAATATAAGATACTATTTATTATTTATATTCTATTTCTTCTATTTAATCTTATAATAAAGCTTACTATAAAATACTTTAAAAGAAAAGATCTTTTTGACTTCCTATTTAAGTTTATTATTAACTTTAGTAAAACTAGGCTCTTTATTAGTTTAGCTAGGTAATAAGTTAATAGAATTCTTATAAAATCTATTTATATAGAAAATTAGCCAAATCCTATATAATAGAGAAAAGTCTAATTAATATAAATAGCCGACTATTTTATTAATCCTAAATAATCTAGTAAGGAAATAATTTAATTTATTAGATAAATAGTTCGTTTTCTATTTCTTTTTAATTATATAAACTATATTTTCTAAACTAAAATCTAGTTCTTATTATTTCTTATTAGCTTATTTAGCTTAATACTCCTAAGCTATTATTATATATTCTCGGATATAATTAATAATAGTATTAATTCTCTTAGCTTACTATTATACTTTTTCCTAATTAAGTTTTTCTTTTAGTATTTTAAATTTTATTATTAGTAGTATTTAGTTAAAGTTTAGCCTAGGTTTATATTTATAGTTAATTATTAAGAGAAATAAGCTAGTCGATTTATATAAATAAGTAGTATCTATAATATTAAATACCGGAAATAAATTTATTTAATTATTCTAGAAGTAATTAATAAAGAAACAAAATCAGATATTAATAAAGAAACAAAATCAGATATTAATAAAGAAACAAAATCAGATATTAATAATCTAATTAATAATTTCTATTTATTTATTAGTTTAAATATATTCTATATTTAAGAGCTTTAGCTTAGTTCTAGTTAATCTTAATAGTTTATTTATAAAGTCTAAAATAAACTAGGGTCCTTAATTATTTATAATAATAAGAAAAGAACTTCGGAATTACTAGATATAGTAATAAAACAGGCTAATAGTAGTTTTAGCTATAGTATTCTTAGTTATTAGTAAGCTTATATATTATTTAAATAATTAATTAATTATAATAAATAAATAATTTTATATTTTTAGGAGAACTAGTAATAAATATAATAGGCTTAGTATTTTGTTTCTTAGCTTATAAGACCTTTAATATTTATAGTAATTTACTATAAAGTAATTAATATTTATAAAAAGAATAAGCTACTAGTAAAGTTTTTAAACTAGAATTTTTATTTTATTTTAACCGGAATATATAATAGTTATTATATTATAAATTTATTATAGGAGCCTAGTTTATAGATTATTATATTTATTTAATATAATAAGTTTTTTATTATAAAATATATAGCTATTTAATATTTCCTATAGATTTATATTTTCCCGAGCTTTCCTATATTTATTTTTTAGGGCTAGGTTTATCTAATTAGCTTATAGAACTTTAACTATAATAAATAGCTTATCTATTTCTTTTACCTTAGTAAAAGTATAAGCTATATCTTTTATTTTAGTAAAAGTAAGAATTAAATCTAATAAAATAACTTATCTAGTTCTTTTAGCTTTCTTAGCCTATTTCTAAATTAATATAAACTCGTTTTTTCGAAATAAGATATTAGTAATAGTATTATTTTTATTTAGCTAATAAGTAATCTAGTAATAAAATTATAATAGGAAATCTATTTATTAGATTTATTATTTATTTAGGAGTTTCTTAGTACTAAAATACTCGAGAGCTTTATAGTTAGTAATAATTAGAAAATTAGATAAGCTAATTAGTTCTACCTATTATTCCTAAAGTCCTTAGATAATAATAAGGAATTCCTTATTATAAACTTTATAATAGCTTTTAGCTTCTTAAAAAGCTTTAAAATAAAACGAAACCGGGTATTATTATTTGTTTTCTAGGCTTTTTTAAGAAAATATACCTATAATAGCTAGATCTAAATAATTAGTTTTTAGGCAAGTTTCTCTATTATATTTAAAATAGAAAAGTATAGAAATAAAAAGAAATAAATCTTTAAGCTAATTAAAGATATCTAGCTAGGTTTTATTAAATATAAATTTTAATAAAGTATTTTTTTTAGTTAGATAGTTTAGGGAATAAGAGATATATTTATAGGCTTAAATAAACCTATAATAGAAATTATAAAAGCCCAAAAATAATTATATTTCTTTTTTTATTATAAGTTAGTACTAGTTTTAAATAATAGAGATTTTAGTAAGATTTATTTATATATTTTAATTCGAGATAATAAATTCTAAAAATATTATTTTAGAAATTTTAAATTCGTATTTATAAATATTAACTTATAATCTAATATCCTAAAGCTTCTATAGAACTATTCTAATATATTATTAATACTTTTTTTTATATTTAGAAAAAATT